ACGCTCCCCCTGTTGGCCATTAAATACAAAACAGGGAATTACATTATGGGAATTCACTGGGAATTCGCTTAGTCTGAATTCGTGGGCAACAGTGACTGACTTGACGCAGCGTTTGCAGGTAAGCATGTCATCGTAACATCGTTGAAAATTTTGGGCATGTGAAAGCGCACGAAAAACTATAATAAAACTCAAATAACTCTAATTACCTCAATGACTACGCCCACCGCATGCCACTCACGATGTTTACTCGGTGACGATGCCATCACAAATCCCATTGGTTGATAATCACGTACCTCAAACTCCTGTTTTATGGTGCATTGTGACCCTAACCCTAACCCTAACTCTATAAACCCAAAAAAATTATTTGTTGTTATTAAATTGTTGTAAATAAATCATGTAAATATGGATAAACATAGAAAAATACAGAAAACAGGAAAATAGTTAAAAAACAGATGGGATTCGATCTAACGACATATAAGCAGTGTCGTCTCTGCTCTAGGCGTTCAGCTATCGAGGCATTGGGGTTTTGTGTTATGGATGTGCCTTGACAACACTGGGGCGTCATTGAGGAGTTTGAGGCACGTGATTTGTATCAACCAATGGGATTTGCGAGGGCATCGTCACCGAGTAAACATCGTGAGTGGCATGCGGTGGGCGTAGTCATTGAGGTAATTAGGGTCATTTCAGTTTTATTATAGTTTTTCGTGCGCTTTTAGATGCTAACAATTTTCAACGATGTTACGATGACATGCTTACCAGCAAACGCTGTGTCAAGTCAGTCACTGTTGCCCACGAATTCAGACTAAGCGAATTCCCAGTGAATTCCCATAATGTAATTCCCTGTTTTGTATTTAATGGCCAATAGGGGGAGCGTGCCGCTGCAAATATGAACTGAAACCTGTGGTTTCTACAAGGACGGGCCGTCCGGGGGCACCACTAGTCGAGTCTCGGTGGATCCATGAATCCACTTTACTGCAGCAACCACAAAGAGAGATAAATATTTACGGAAAGATAGTGAGATGACTGATGTTGGATGTTGATCCTGCTACCTCACTTACTATAATCTATTCAATGCGTTCCACGCATCAATTAACATACATGCTCCATATCGAGTCTTATCGTGCAAAGCAAAACAGCTACAACAGAAACCATGGATTTTTACTGGCATACTAGTCTCTATCAATACAAGAAAAAAAATGTTTCAATCCAACTACCTACACGGCACCACCCTACAAGGAAATCTCTACAAACGATACTCAAATAGACTAAATCACACTAACGAGCAGGCCAAAAGAAATTATTACCAAAGAATCCTAATTCAACACAAATCCAACTTAAATGAAAGTGTCAATGACACTGTAGCTCACCACAACAAGTGCTGCAGAGCGACAGCGCTC